CACACACAGGTGCACATCACACATGCACACGTCACACACATGCACATCAGTCACTCAGGCACATCACACACACAGGTGCACATCACACATGCACATGTCACACACGTGCACATCAGTCACTGGGGCACATCACACACACGTGCATTGCACAGCTGCAGGATGCACATGTGCACCACATGCACGTCACATGTCTGTAGCATGCACCTGGCATCACTAATAGGCACACACATGCATCCCTCACTGGAACTCAAGCACCATCTTCTCCCTGCTGCCTCCCACATTCAGAGAAATCCCAAAGGTTCAGCTAGGCCTTCAGCCCACAGGACTGTCCCCTCCTCTAGATCAGACCTCTGGGGCTCATGCCCTCAGCTTCACCCCCACAGGTCCCTGAATCTGCCTCATCCTTATGTCCCACACACTGTTTGTCCGGCATCCCCTCAGCACAAAACACCTGCCCCCGTGGGCACACACGTTCCTCAAGCACAAGGACTTTGCTGCCATCACTTGTGCATTCACGGAGCAGAGCTGAGAACACAGGAGTTTTTAATGGATATTCTTTTTTTTTTTTTTTTTTTTTTTGAGACGGAGCCTCAAGCTATCCCCCTGGGTAGAGTGCCATGGCATCACAGCTCACAGCAACCTCCAACTCCTGGGCTCAAGCGAGTCTCCTGCCTCAGCCTCCCAAGTAGCTGGGACTACAGGCGCCCGCCACAACGCCTGGCCATTTTTTGGTTGCAGCCATCATTGTTGTTTGGCGGGCCCGGGCTGGGGATTCGAACCCGCCACCTTAGGTGTATGTGGCTGGCGCCTTAGCCGCTTGAGCCACAGGCGCCGAGCCTTTAATGGATATTCTAAGGAAATTAACTAACAAGTATACATACAATGATGCCCAAACATGCACAAGTATGCAGGTGCCCACACATGTGTGCACACATGTGTACATGCCCACCTGTGCATTTACGTTCAGGTGTACACTTATAGACACACACACAATGCATCCATACATTCCTGCACACAGACGCACACATGCTGCCTCTAAGGCAGAAGTTGCTGGAAGAAACACAGGTCAATTGACTGTGTTATTAGGAACAGGTACCTGAGTTAACAGTTCAGCCCGAGGGCAAACTACAGCTACCTTCCTGCCCCCAGGCTATTTGATTTAATTTTAATGTTGAGAAAAGAGAACCACTTGGAAAACAAAATCTTAATAAAACTTACAAAAGTACTGAAAATGAAGTTTTATGTAACATCTACTGTTACTCATCATTACTTATCTGGTTTGTCAAAAGCCTCCAAAAACATGGCTTATGAAGATATGGAAATAAAGACAATAACCAGGAGAAGTTCAAAGTCAGCACGAAGGCTGAAGTGAACCCTGTCAAACCTGGGCCACTGCCGTGGTGAGGCAGATTCCTGGCAGGCCCACTGCGTGCCAGGCCCCGGCAGCAGGCCAGGAGCCCCTGTCCTCCCAGGTGGGGACAGCAGGTGTGACAGCCACAGGCACGGTGGCCGGGGCTGGGTGAGCTGTTCAGCTGTGGACTCGTCCTCCCAGGGGCTGTGTGTGAGGGGGGCAAAAGGCGTGTGTGAGGCGAGTCTCATACAGATGCTGTTCTGTAAAACAACATCCAGCAGCCTTCACACGTTCATATTTAGAAAGAATAGCAGCTAACATGATGAATTTAGCACATGCTAAGAGATTTCTGTGTTTAATTCTTTTAACAGAGAAAAATAAAGTCTACAAAAGGTTAAAAACTCTTCTATTATGAAATAGGAACAGAGAGGGAATAAAGAAAATGACAAAATGTCACACAAAATACATTCCATCATTTTCCAAAATGAAATAACTTCCCTTGAAAATACAAGAAAAATTGGTTAGCTCAGTCTTAAAAATGTCTTTACCGTAAAGCTAATGTTTCACTTTTTAAGTTATAACTTTTAAAAAAATATTTAGAACTCCAAAATTATATTTTTGCATTTGCAATGTAAACATCTGAAACAATTTAAAATAAATTTGGGAACTAAATTGAAAAATAAATTCTTCCTGGGCTGTAACATGCCAAGTTTTAATCTAGACCAAGTTTTTATGGTTCTGTCATAAACCCCAGAAAGAAATAAAGAACAGAACAAGTAAAAGAAAAAGAAAATAGGGATTTATAACAAAAATGCTGACAGCCCATTTTCTAAAAAGCAAAAACTAAATTATAACTTCTACCCTGCTGGTGGGATTGCAAACTAATACAACCTTTATGGAAAGAAGTACGGAGACTCCTCAAAGAACTAAAAGTAGACCTTCCACTTGATCCTGCAATCCCATTCCTAGGCATCTACCCAGAAGAAGAAAAATCATGTTAACACAAAGACATTTGCACCAGAATGTTTACTGCAGCCCAGTTCATAATTGCCAAGTCGTGGAAGTAACTCAAGTGCCCATCGACCCAGGAATGGATCAACAAACTGTGGTATATGTATACCACAGAATACTATTCAGCCATAAGAAAAGATGGAGATTTTACATATTTTATGTTTACCTAGATGGAGTTTGAATAAATTATCTCAAGAATGGGGGAAAAAGTACCCAATGTACTCAATACTATTATGAACATAATATATAAACACACACTCACACGAATGATAAAACACAAATATAGTCTAGTAGGGAGAGGGGAGAGAGAGAGATGGTGGGAAGAAGGAGGGTATTTGGTGGGATTTCATTCAACATACACAATGTGCACAAGGCAAGAGTACGTTTCAAAATAACTTAGGGTAAATTTTAAATGTCTTACCACAAAAAATAAGTAAGTGAGGTAGGTGAGGGCGATGTTAACCAGTTTGATTTAAGCATTCCACATTGTATATCAAATCATCACACTGTACCCCACAAATGGATATGGTTATGATTTTAACTGAAAATTAAATTTTACAAAAGGAAAAGAATAAATTATAATTGGCTCTGAAAAGATGGCCTTTAAGAGGTGTCCTGCACAACAAATCCAAATTTGTAACGAACAAAGAGACACTTTTCTAATAATTCACAGAACTTCAAAAAAAAGAAGCAAGTGTCAAGACGTAAGAAATGTGTGAAAAATGTAAAGTTCTCAACATGAAAGGAGTTTCACACACAGGTTGTTTATCTTCATGACTAGAAAATTTTAACTCAAGAATGACAGTGTAATTGGTGGGACCACACCTACAGTGCATCTTACAAGGGCATATGTGAAACTTACTAAATGTAGAATATAAATGTCTTAACACAATAACTAAGAAAATGCCATGAAGGCTATGTTAACCAGTTTGATGAAAATATTTCAGATAGTATATAAAACTAGCACATTGTACACCATGACTACATTAACATACACAGGTATGATTTAATTTAAAAAAAAGAATGACAATATTTGGCAAATTTAATCAATTCTCATAGAACTCGATTGTCTAAAGACTCAGAGAGTAGAAAGCTGATCCCATGGACAACTACACAGCATTTCCAGAAAGACACCAGGACATTAGCAAGCCTTATCTTTAGATAAGCATTTATATATTGTATCTTGAGAATGATACATCAAAACCTTTTAAATGTTATTTGTCAAACTTTAACCCCAAACTCTCCATGCTGACTAGTCTTTTCAAGAAACCCTTTGCTCTTGAGATTTACACCTTATTTCTAATACAAAGACAGTATCCTTTGCTCTGTGGGCCACAGCCAGGCATGTTCCAGTCAGGAAGGGTTAGGGCAGATTCTAGTTCAAGACACCACAATGCCCAGACGCAGAGCCCGGGGGCCACAGTCTGTGCCCACGCTTCCTCAAAGCCAATACCAGGCCTGGAAGTCTTACCAGACGCACTTAGTAAGATGGACTTATACTTTAACATTCTATGTCAAAATGCTAGCTGTCAACATCTCACCAACTGCACCTGAATTTAAAGGAAATCATAATACCTAAAAATGAGGATGGGTATTAAACAATCATTTAAAAAGTTAATGACTCCATTATGGAATTCATTTAAAATCCTGGAAATATATAAAATCTAATAATCAAATCTCAAACTCAGCTGAACCTTGATGGATCTTACTGTAGAAACGGGAGCAGGAGCGCCTGGCTCGCAGACGCAGAGTAGCCTTCTTTCCCCAGCTGCCGGAAGATCTCGAACCTGGGCTACTGCAGCATTGACCTAACCAATGTGCACTTCGAGGCTGAAATTGCGACTTTTATAGCCTTATAAGGGAGTTACAACACTCTCCAAAGAGGTTCCTTCCTCGGGGCCCCTCTGCTGTGTTAAAAACATGTCTGTTCTGTTTTTATGATAGAAGATTCAGTACAAATAAAAGATGAAGAAAAATAACAAACTTTTCTTCAACAACGCTCTCCCAGCTGACGTTTTTCATAGCATTACCCAAACTGGAGAAGTCCTCTCTTATCCTAATTCGCAGCATTCTATCCTGAATGGCCACCAGCATAGTCTGAGCAGGAGGAAGCCTCATGTGCCGAGGCTACGCAGCGAGGAGGTGGCTTCTGGCCCCAGCTCCAACGCGCCCACACCACATCCCTGATCTGCATCTGTGGCTGTTCAGCAGACACCCACAGGACCACATTTCTGGACACAGAGCCCCCAAATCCAGGGGTCTCACACCAAGGCAGAGGCTTCCTGTAGCCTATGCCTCCCAACCCCAGTCAGAAGCGACTCCAGAATAAATCTACCTTAGCCAAACTTAATGTGACAGACTGGTGCTTTCTTTCCCACTTGAATGGATTAAAAACTTCACAGACTGTCAGATCCTGCCTGCCCTGTCAAACCGAAATCTAAAGTGAGCCTTGAAAAGGTGTGCAGGTGCAGGGGTGGAGTCTCCAGCCAACTCAGAAAGGCCTCTCCACAACCCTCGGGTCCAACGCACATGTCAGAAAGCATTACAAGGCAAATCCTTAACTTGAAAAGTCTTTCTAACATATCAAAAGTCAAAATTGTAGTTTTAGTCCTTAAAAAACTCTGATTTGTTCATAAGCTTTAGATGCTCTTTTGGGTAAAAGTGTCTACCAGACCAAGTGGCTCTGAGAGAATGAATTCATCACACGTCTTCTCTGATGACAAGCCGGTACCCTCGGCTATGGGTGTTTTTAAACCACTTCTGTCAGAGCAGACTGTCCCCACACTCCAGTAGGTAGTTCCCACCTATTGGGAGAGGCTGCCCACTCCACAGTCCCTTAGGGTCACACGACTCCTGTTTAGTCACCTGACCATCACTCACTCACATGAGCGGCCTTTAGTCATGTGACCAGCATTTGTTCAGTCATGTGGCCATCATTCAGGTCACATGACTAGCCTTCATTCAGTCATGTGACCAGCATTCCAGCTATTGCAAGAAATGCCCACACCCCTGTCAAGCTTTAAGTGAGAATGTATTGCTAGTAAAGTCTTAAAATGGACCCATAAAATTATCAAAGACAATAGTACACAAATTAACATTCAGCATGATATTAAAATATTTTCTAAGGTCAAAACAAATCTCAGAATAACCATCAATAAAACTTAACATTGAATTTGGTAGCAGTTATAAAATTTCATCATACATTTCTATCCAGTAAGCCCTTTAAGCACATCATTTTACAAAAGATATACACTGTCCAAAAACTCACTTTATTTTGGCAGATTTGATGGATAGGCCGAGAATGGGCTTCTGCTATCACAGCTGCACTGCAGCCGACGTTGAGGTCGAACACTTCCAATGTCCTGTTCCGGCCAGCCGTGAGTACAACATCTGCAGTGATTCTGTTAGGGAACTCCTCTCAGTGACCTCACCCACAGGGGAGGGGCAGGTGCACCTCTGTTATTAACACATTTGGGGATATTGGGAGACTCACAAATGCATGGCTAGTTAAGAATTTCTGACGTTCTGCAGGAGAAGCCTGAGCCCAGCCCAGCTTGGCACCCTCCTGCCTCCCCAGCCTTGCCTTAGAGAAAGGGAGACCAGGCAGTGCCTGCCTTGAGTTGGGAGATGAAGAGTTCTACTGCAGGGTGCACAGTGTTTGAGATGTATGGGAAATACCAGATCAAGACATCACGTAGCTACTGATCTCGGCAGACGGTTCTGAGCTGAGACCAACAACGAAACCAGGCAGGGACCTCACCTAGAACAGGTGTACACCCTGCAGGGGCACAGGGTGCGGTCACTGCAGCCAACTCCACAAACTTGACAGATGAGGGGAAATTCACAGATGCAGGGTTCATGTGATCACCAGCACTACCAAACTACGTGGGGCACAAAGAGCATTTATTAGATTCCATAGTAAGTCCAATGCCAGTGTCAAGATAAGCAGAAACCACAAACTGAGCCAGGACATTGGTTGAGACATTTCTTCTCGGGTTTTTTTTTTTTTAAAGCAAACAGTTCTAGCATAAAAATACCTCAATGCTAGGGTAGCACCTATGGCTTAATGGGTAGAGTGCCAGCCCCATATGCCAAGGATGGCGGGTGCAAACCCGGCCCCAGCCTGCTAAAACAGCAGCAACAACTGCAACAAAAATAGCCAGGTGTTGTGGCAGGCACCTGTAGTCCCAGCTACTCAGGAGGCTGAGGCAAGAGAATCACCTAAGCCCAAGAGTTGGAGGTTGCTATGAACTATGATGCCACAGCACCCTACCAAGGGCGATAAAGTGAGACTCTGTCTCTAAAAAAATAAAGGAAAAACCCTCAATGCTAACTAACATACAGGCTGGCCATGCAGTTCTAGAAAACAAACCTTGATGTCAGTCCTTCTGAAATTTTAACTATTAAATCCCTTAATATAGTTCAACTTAGACCTATCTTTGAATAAATTAAAATTTTATAAAATGAATTCCTAAAGATCAGGAGCTTTTCTTCTAAATAAATTAAAATTATTTTTTAACTAAAAGTGATGAAGTTAGCCACAAAAATTCAAAACTTTTGGACTCAATTTCATATTCTACCTAACAGCAACCACAATGAAGTCTGTCAGCCCTCCCTATGATATGGAGCAATGGTGCAGATTAACTGAAGGCTGTCTTGGTAAATGTAAGTGTTAGCACCAAAAAGTGCTAAATTACTATATATTATTCAATAAAGTACATATCAGAAATGTAGCAGCTTGTCCGCTATAAGTCAGACACTCCATCGCCTGTGGGAACAGAGCTCTAAGGGATTTCTCACTGCTGAGGTGAAATCATCACATGTTCTGTGACTGCAAGACCTTGTGCCCCAAGAGCAGGGTCCCAAGTGCCTACGCCCAGGCCACGCCCCATTTGGCAGACGCTCAGCAAATCCTTGCTCCACAGGTGAAATATGAGAGGGACCCAGGAGAAGGATACGGGAATAAAAGTCGTTCACAGCTGATAAACTGGTCATGTCCACCCCATCTGTCATAGAAAGCCTACAAACGGACTTAGACCAGCTCTTTTGCTTATACCTGGGAGAAAATTAAAGATGATCAATTTTTTTCTTACCTTCAACTACAAATAAACATTCTACCTTTAAAAAAAATTGAAGATGAAAATAAAGTTGCTGTAGCCCTTTAAAAGTCATAGTTTATAAGACTGAGGGAATAATGAAACTTCAGTTCTCCATTAGAAACTCTACTTTCTCCCAGAGCTGCCTGAGGATGGAGGGAAACATCAGGATGAAGCCAGTAGCCCTCCCCCATTCTCAGGGAATTCAGTTGCAGGAAAGCAGACCACCTGGAGAGAAATTGGGGGGGGGAACCTGCTGTGGGCACCAGGCCCACCCACCAGAGCAGACCTGACCCCCTCCTCCCACCAGGCCGGAGGAGTGGCCTCGAGGGCTGCAGGGAGCCTGGGAAGGGGAGGCTGAAATGTCTTACATGGTCCCAAACACCCTGCAGAGGGAGGACAGAGGGTGGATGTGTGCAGGTGCACAAGGAGCCCAAGCGCTCCGTTCACCGAGAAGTGGGAGGTACCCGCTGCCCTCAGTCAGGGGCTGACAGGGTCTGCACGTTGCTACAGAATGTCATACAGCAGCTAAACGACAAACTGGTCGCCCATCTCAGAAACACAACTGCAACTGTGAAGGTCAGTGTGCCTGTGCTACCTTTAAACCCTCCAAAACTAAAATCACAAGACTACACATACAGCAAAAAAACAGAAAACCACAGAAGAGAAGCAAATACACCATTTTAAAAGGACAAAAGGGGGAAGAAAACACAATTGGGAGGGAAGGTCTCAAACTCTGTAATATTTTATTTCTGAAGGTTTTCTTTTCTTTTTTTTTTTTTTTTAGCAGTTTTTGGCCGGGGCTAGGTTAGAACCCTCCACCTCCAGCATATGGGGCTGGTGCCCTACTCCTTGAGCCACAGGCACCACCCAATATTTTATTTCTTTAAAAAAATTTTAAACAAAGACAGCAAAATGTTAATATTTATCTAAGCTGGGTGTCTATTTCCCATATCTATGTATTTGAAATATTTCTTAATTTTAATTTATTATGATAAACAGTATCTGTCCCAAGTAACATCACTTCAATATGCTGCAGAACTAAGATGCTAATTCAGTTTTCCAAAGTCCCCAATTCTCTCCTTCTGTCACACCAAGGGAAGTTGTTAATAGGTGGGCACTGAGCCCCTCGGCTCTCACTAGGAGCCTGGTGATGAGAATGGCAGCATCACCACACAGGCCTCCTCTGGCTCAGGAAGGAACAGCGGGGAGGGGGCGCCTACCGTTTTATCTCATCTTTACACGTGTCAATATGATACTTCCGCAGCTGAAGTTCAGAGCCAGAAGACAACAATATGAAAGCATCTATGTAATAAAACTGTGCAGACTGTACAGGCTTAGAAAACATGTCTTTGCCCTATAATGAAATCAGCAATTATTGCCAATATAATAAATGTTAATCAAAAAAGACACTATTGCTTTAAACAAATTCTTTTACAATACCCAACATCTATTTATTCTAAAAGTATAAAGATAATTTGTTAGAACCAATTTACAATTTTTGTCTGTGTTCACTACTTCTGAAAAGTATTATATGATTAAAATTTTACTGCAGTAAGCATTAGAATTCTGACTGTTTAAAAACTTTAATATATGGGCAGTGCCCACACCTCAGTGGGTAGGGTGTCAGCCACATACACTGAGACTGGAGGGTTCGAACCCAGACCTGGCCTGCTGAAACAACAATGACAAACTGCAACAACAAAAAATAGCCGGTCATTGCAGTGGGCACCTGTAGTCCCAGCTACTTCGGAGGCTGAGGCAACAGAATCACTTACACCCAAGAGTTTAGATTTGCTGTGAGCTGTGATGCCACAGCGTTCTACCCAGGGTAACAGCTTGAGGCTCTGTCTAAAAAAAAAAAAAAAAACCTTTAAAATAAAAAAAAATTGAAACTGACTCGGCACCTGTAGCTCAAGTAGCCCAGGTCCTAGCCACATACACCAGAGCAGGTGGGTTTGAATCCAGCCCAGGCCCACCAAACAACGACATGTATAACCAAAAAATAGACTGGCATTGTGGCAGGCACCTGTAGGCCTAGCTACTAGGGAGGATGAGGCAAGAAAATTGCTTGAGGCCAAGAGTTTGAGCTTGCTGTGAACTATGACACCACGGCACTCAACCAGGGGGCAAGAAAGTGAGACTCTGTGTCAAAAAAAAAGTAGTTCTAAGGTGCCTACTTCCAAATGTAGCTCTTACAGCCAACAGCACCTCATTGTAGAGAAAGCTGGCCAGTGAAGGTGTGTGTCAGGGACCGCAGAGCTCTTAGGACTGTGTAACTACGTGTGGGCGTGTGCAGGCGAGTGTCAGGGACCCCAGAGCTCTTAGGACTGTGTAACTACATGTGAGTATGTGCAGGCGAGTGTCAGGGAGACCAGAGCTCTTAGGACTGTGTAACTACGTGTGGGTGTGTGCAGGC